ATCCCAAAGGAGAAAGTTTAAAAACTTCCAAAAAGAAACTGTTCATGAGAATAAGTTGCCAATATGAGATGATGGAATAATGTCTGAGACAGCACACCATGCATATCTAGACATGAAATCAAAAAAGTAAATTTTATAAACCTCTTACTGTGTTCTAGGTGGTCAGCAGTCCTGTCCCTCAATGTCATCTAATTAAAAGATTTAAAGTTACATAAAAGGGAAATATTTTTAGTATTTAGCAAATCATTTGAGGATTTTTCTTTAAATTGTATATAAATTTGATGGACAAGAAGTTAATGTATTAGAATAAAAAATTATTCTGCTCCCTGGTCTTTTAGAATTAAACTATTTGTATCCTAGTAAATTGAATACTGCTCAAGAAAATAGACTAGATGTTTTTTCTCTCATCAGTGTTCTGCCCTTATGTCCATTCATGGACAGAAGAAGAGCTGTTTTTCCTCTGTGCTCTGACATGATCATGGTGGGCTTGTTCTTGGTCTGAGGATTTAATTCTGGGCTTGAGGTCACCTAACAATCTAATATAGAAAGATTTCATATCCATTATCTCTTTATCTCTTTCATATCTAGTATCTCTCGTACCCAAATAAGCAAACTAGTCACCTCTACCTTACTTTCTCAGATGAGATGCTTTGATGTGAAGGGCTCAGATAAAACTTCTTATCTGGCAGTTGATTCCACTACCAAAATAAGATTTAAAAAAATCATTCTGCAGAGCCACATAGAACTGAGTATAAGATTTCTACTAATAATTACCAGTTCCAATGAAATAATAAAAGGAACACTTTATTTATGATTCTTAGATGTATTTTAAGAGTTTCATACTTTCTCTGAACCTGGTAAAACTGGTTAATAAGTCTACATTGTTTGGTGTTACTCATCTTTTAATTAATAGTATTGCCAGTTGTACAGTTAGGAAATCAATACTTAAAATAATACCTTGCATTTTACTTAACAGAGTAAATCGTATTATCCTCATTTTGTAAATAACATTTACTAACATCAAGGATTAAAGGTCACTGAACTCCGGTTACAAATGAGAAAGCCTAAAGCAATTTGACTCACCAACTACAAAATACAATGGGAAGGATAAGAGTCCAGTTGTATACCCCGATGTAATTTTTCATTCACACAATGTCCCAGTATGAATTGTTCAGTAGCTAGGGTATTCAGATTTGCCTAATAGGCTGGTTTTTATTTTATTCATTTTTTATTCTGTGATAATACCTAATTATTTTTATGACTCTTAATTCACATTAATACAGTTTCTTTGACATAGCAAGGGGTGTCTAGATTTTATACCCATCCCTCTCAAACAATCTGTGTAAAAAGACTAGGTTTTTCCCTTCATTAGTCTTGAGCTAATACTTTAGTTAAATAAAATGATAATAAATTGCTAAAAAAAAAATCACACCTTTACTAGTTATGATAGTATCAAATTGTCCTGAAGTTTCCCAAATGGTTGCTTTTAATTACTTGCAAACTGGTTTTAAAAAAAAAAAAAAAACCCTCAGACTGACACCAGTCCTTAAATAGTTTGTAAGACTTCTTGTGAAAAAGTCTTAACAGAAGAATCCTAAGTAAGCCACTGTTTGAAAACCACACACTGCATCATACGTATTTCTATCACAAATATATTTGGAAAAAAGAACCTGTTTCCCTTTGATGGTTTCTTACTCCCGTCAACCAGTTTATCCAAGAATGTTCTAAAACTGATAGCCATATCTAGCATTGAACTTGCAGACTCCTTATGTTGCATAAGAAAGTCAACTTTGTTTCTTGCTGCAGTTTCTTAATTTATGAACATGACCTGGTATTAGATAATCTTGATCAGATACAAGTGATGACTTCTTTGGAAAGAACTTCTGTGGCACTTCATATTGCCTGGATCGGAGGGTGAAAGATTAGAAGACTCCAGTTTGAGTATATAGTACAGATATTTGTCCTGTTCCCAAGCACATTTGTTTGCAAAGCTATTTTGTTGCCCTTCTAAGTATAAATTGCTGCTTCTGTTACAACTCTAGATGAAGCTTCTCTTATGATTCAAGCTACCAACAAAGTTCTAAATATTGTTTACCTGGACCTCTTTTACCAGAAGTAAGTAGTTTAACGAAACAACCTTCATTTTAACCGAGACAGCTACTCAGGACTAAAAGAGGGTCTGAAAGATGGTGGTTTTTGAAATAGCAGCAAACATTGTGGTGGTCAAGGAGAAAAGAGAAGTCATATGGAACTGTGTTGTGTGCTGATGGGAGAGGGAAGACAGGAAGGTGAGGGAAGGAGATGCCCCATGTGGGTTTGATCAGTTGCTGTGGTTGCAGAAGCTGACAGTGTAAATACATTATTGACTTGTAGATTTAGGTGCAGGCTACCTGGGAGGAACCTAAGCAAGGAATGACTGTATACTGCTAAGGTTGAGTTTTGTCCTGAAAAAAAAGATCCATAGTGAAAGGCTCTTATAAAAGACCAACCAAGAGAGTCTTTGATAGTAAAAGCAAAGTGGTGTAGCAGAGGATATTAATAGTGATCTAGAGAGCAGGCTCCTATTGTTAACAAGCAAACCCAATGTGCTCACCTGGGGAGTGGCACCATGGAATGAGTGTCACTGTCCTCAGTGAACTTGGAGTCAATTTTTGGATTTAAGTCCTGCACCCCGAGTCAGCATCTTGGCAAAACTTAAGCTGTTTCACTTCTCTTCACCTCTGGTTTCTCATATGTTAAACATTTGCTGAGCTCTGGAAGCTATTATGAGGTTCAAATGAGATAATCCATATAAAATCAAAATTTATTTCTCTTTACCTACAATGTCAACAACCCCGCCAGCCTTTGCTTTCCCCTACTCCAAAAAAACAATGTAAAGGAGACCAGTTGTCATGACTGATATTTTTTAAAAAATAGTTATTATTGGACTCCAGGATCATCCAGATACCAAGTACACATATCATTGTTTGACTATTCTGAGCAGATAGTTGTATGAGAGTATTTGATCTGAGGTCTAATTTTGTCTATAAAATGAGGAAGAGGCATCTGTGTTTGACAGTTTACGTAGGAATGCACATCCCCACACTTGTTACTTTATGTAAAATGATAGAATTCTTGGAGTGAGCCTTAGAAGGAATAGCACATAACCTATCAGAACTTCTTTTTTTGTAAAGTAATTTAAATGACAAATACTTCCTGAAAATCAAGCTAGGCGTGATGATTCAGACCCACTCAATTGTGGTCCAGAGAGAATTTTATTTTGCAAAACTATGGGAGAGAATTTTCCATTGCAAAAATAGTAGTTTCCTTTATCCTACATCCTTTAATATCTTATCTTTCATAAGCATAGTACAATTGTTGAAACCAAGAAATTAAGATTGATACCATACTATTAAGTAGTCTAGAAATTTTATTCAAATTTTCCCACTGTCCTTATTCTGGTGTAGGATATCATATGTTTATTTGCCCTATCTTCTTAGTGGCCTCCAATCTGTAACCATTCTTTGGCCCTTTAAAAAATAAACCAACTCTTACCATTACCTATTGAAGCACACTAGCCACTGTTTTGTAGAATGACCTTCAGTTTTGGTTGAGCTGATGTTTTTCTCATCATTGAAGGTCTGAATTTTTGTCCACAAAGGGGGTGATGTGTCCCTCTCAGTAATACAGATGAAGAGGTTCATGGGGATACTTATGCCTGATGATATTAACTTTGATCATTTGGATAAGGTGGTTTCTGCTAGCTCTGACCATTGAAAAGTTAATGGATTTTCTCTTTGTAAGTAATAAGGATCTTATTTTGTTTTTTGAGATTTTGTGCTGTCTTAAATTAACAGTCAGGGTTAGAGCAATGGTGGTTTCCAGAGGCTTGCTAAGTGGCCTGTCCTGGTGGGAAGAAGCTGGGCCCTACCAAGTGATGGAGTCATTATTTCAGTGTTTGAATAGATATCCCTCAATCCAAGCTGAAATGGATTGCCTGACATTACATTGCAGGATTTTTAAGTCCTACCTCCAGGCAAATCTCATAGATACTAGCAAAAATGAAAGTGTGAAACGCTTTTTAATGTATATTTAACAACACTAGTCTGGTGATTACTGATGTGTATTCTCTATGGACTCCCTTTGCCATCAGAAGAGGATGTTAAGAGACAACATTTTTACACATTTATTTAATCTAAATCCATCATATGTTTGCTTTCTAAATATCTATAACTGTCATTTGTAACAAGATCATAAGAAATCAAACACTTTAAGTCTAACTCAAACTTCGAATCATAGGATTACAATCAATTTTTAGAGAAAGTGCAATTACAGGTTTTCTTACTTTCCGTTATGAAATTGCCTGGTATTAAATAACACTAAAATATAGGCATAAAAAAAGAAGAAGAAAAACAGCGTGGTCCTGGGGAGCATGACAGGTGATGCTATTTGATTCATTGCTTTGATTCAGAAATTCACGTAATAACTCCTACTTAAAGGAATTTTCCACCTTGAGTCCAGTATCATGTCTGCTTGCATAGAAGAAATAAATTTGCCAAATGTACTTAATTCCTTCTTATAGTGTCACTATTTAATAAAGATTAGGGTACTTTTTTTTTTTTTTGCATTTAGACTGGGTTGCACAGCAAGAGTTCATATCTTATACTAATATGTGCTAAATAGTTGCATAGTATATAGACCATTGTTGTTAAAATAGCAGTAAGGAAGGCATTTTAGATCACAGAGCCCCAGTGGTCTACATTTTGTTTGCTTTGACATTATTAAACTCAATCTGTTTCTCTAAGTGTGACTCTAATTACTACATTTGCATGGCAGAAAAGTTTGCTTTGTGGGTTGACTTTTATTAACAGTGCTTGCATGTTTTCTTCTACTTCTCTCCCCCAAGCCCTTGCTCTCTCTGTTTCATGAGCAGACAGAACACCTTCAGTCACATTGAATAATTATGCACAATCAATAAATTTTTGTGTTTGTCTTTGTTGTTTCTTTGATGTGGCCTCTAGGATGCTGCCGGCAAGGTGTTGGACCGCTGGGCCATCATGTCTCGAGAAGAGGAAATCATCACCCTTCAGCAGTTTTTGCGGTTTGGAGAAACCAAATCCATTGTGGAGCTGATGGCAATTCAAGAGAAAGAAGGGCAGGCCGTAGCCGTACCATCTTCAAAGACAGACTCAGACATAAGGACTTTCATTGAGAGCAATAATCGCACCAGGAGTCCCAGCCTTCTTGCTCACCTAGAGAACAGCAACCCTTCCAGCATTCATCACTTCGAAAACATCCCCAACAGCCTCGCATTTCTGCTTCCATTCCAGTACATAAACCCAGTCTCAGCCCCACTGCTTGGATTGCCTCCCAATGGGCTACTCTTGGAGCAACCAGGACTGAGGCTGCGGGAACCGAGCCTTTCAACCCAGAATGAGTATAATGAGAGCAGTGAATCCGAAGTGTCTCCCACACCTTATAAGAGTGATCAGACACCCAATAGAAATGCCCTAACCAGCATCACTAATGTGGAGCCCAAAACCGAGCCAGCCTGTGTGTCCCCCATTCAGAATTCTGCTCCAGTTAGTGATCTGACCAAAACTGAACACCCAAAAAGCTCATTCCGGATTCACCGGATGAGAAGGATGGGGTCAGCCTCTCGGAAAGGGAGAGTGTTCTGTAACGCATGTGGGAAGACATTCTACGACAAAGGTACTCTCAAAATTCATTACAATGCTGTGCACCTGAAGATTAAACACCGATGCACCATAGAAGGTTGCAATATGGTCTTTAGCTCCCTCCGAAGCCGCAATCGCCACAGTGCAAACCCGAACCCTCGCCTTCACATGCCTATGCTACGGAATAACCGCGACAAAGATTTGATTCGGGCTACGTCAGGAGCTGCCACCCCCGTCATAGCAAGTACAAAATCAAACCTAACACTCACGAGCCCTGGCCGGCCCCCAATGGGTTTTACCACTCCCCCACTAGACCCTGTCTTACAGAATCCTCTCCCTAGCCAGCTGGTATTTTCTGGGCTAAAGACTGTCCAACCAGTTCCTCCATTTTATAGAAGTTTACTCACTCCAGGGGAAATGGTGAGTCCTCCAACCTCTCTCCCAACCAGTCCCATCATTCCAACCAGTGGTACTATAGAGCAGCACCCCCCACCACCCTCTGAGCCAGCAGCACCCGTCATGATGATGGCCGCTCATGAGCCCAGTGCCGACCTGGCACCCAAGAAGAAGCCCAGGAAGTCCAGCATGCCTGTGAAGATAGAGAAGGAGATTATAGACACCGCTGATGAGTTTGATGACGAGGATGATGACCCCAACGATGGTGGAGCTGTAGTCAATGACATGAGCCACGACAATCATTGCCACTCCCAAGAGGAGATGAGTCCAGGCATGTCTGTGAAGGACTTTTCCAAGCATAGCAGGACCCGATGCATTTCAAGGACTGAAATAAGAAGGGCTGACAGCATGACGTCTGAGGACCAAGAGCCTGAGCGGGACTATGAGAATGAGTCTGAGTCCTCAGAGCCCAAACTCGGTGAGGAATCCATGGAAGGGGATGAGCACATTCACAGTGAAGTGAGCGAAAAGGTCCTGATGAACAGTGAGAGGCCAGATGAAAACCACAGTGAGCCCTCTCACCAAGATGTCATCAAGGTGAAAGAAGAATTTACAGATCCCACTTACGACATGTTTTACATGAGCCAGTATGGACTGTACAATGGTGGGGGCGCCAGCATGACTGCCCTGCATGAAAGTTTCACATCTTCTCTGAATTACGGCAGCCCTCAAAAGTTCTCCCCAGAAGGTGATCTGTGTTCTAGCCCAGACCCCAAAATCTGTTATGTGTGCAAGAAGAGTTTCAAAAGCTCCTACAGTGTGAAACTTCACTACAGGAATGTTCACTTAAAAGAGATGCATGTCTGCACCGTGGCTGGCTGCAATGCTGCCTTCCCCTCTCGCCGAAGCAGAGACAGGTCAGTAAATCTCCATTGGCTGCTCCTGCTGGGGGTGGAGGGTGCCAGTTTCAGTCATGTTGGACTTAACATTAAGAAATCCAACTCAGATGTTTTTGATGCATTGTAAAGATTGTCTGCAGTGACCACATGATAACCAAGCTGCCATGCTCATGAAGGATTGTTGCAGTTGGTGCTTGTTATGATTAAGCATGCAGAAAATCATATGCCATCTTACCCAGTAATGCACGCCATTTTTCTCTGTGCTCTGTGTATGTGTATATGTGTGTATGTTTTTTTCATGCATCTAGGTGTGAATAAGTTAACTGTGTACACAGTTCCCTGCTTTCCCATGAACCTTCACTTAGAAGCCGCAGCTTCTGTTATATATATAAATATATATATATTTCTGCTTTGCCATGTGGCTTTTTAATTAAATCAATATATTATCTTCATACACACATATTTATCCAATATAGAAACAGAAATTTACGGATGGAAAGAACCATAGGTCCAGGACTTCGAGACAGCCTGCATCTCCGTAGGTATAACCAGAAATGTTATCATTCTTACATGAGTATTTAGTGTGTCCTTGAATTCTTTAAGAGTCATGAAAATATCAGTAGAAAATGGGCCCAAAGTAATTGTTGGTATGGGGAAATGGTATGGTGGTGCGGGTTTCTTTATTTTAACTTCACAATGTCTTTGAGCATTTCCCTAAAATATAGTCTGTCATGGGAATTGTGCACAGAAGGGAAGGCATGCATATACTTTTAGGATCAGTTAGAATATATTATGTCCAACCTTCAGATGACATCACACCTCAGCTATGTAGTTGCTGTTCTAAAACAGTTGGGCTTAAACAGAAGCAGCTGGTTCTAAACCTACAAAGTTCTTTTTCAGTCCTAAAGAAAATGTAATATAAATGGAATGTGTCAAGGTGGTCACTGGTGGGGTAACACAGCTATCCTACACTTATGAGGAGAAGCTTGTGTGCAGATCATTTACACCACACACCAGCCTGTCTGGACTCATACACCAGTTAGTTCTCCTACTATGTCAGACGTGGGGTTTTATTTTTATGTTGTCTTTTTAAAATATTTTTAGAGAAAATTGTGTTACACGGTAAAGAATTTAATATATGTTGAAGAAACAAGTCTATAGGAAATTTCCAAGAAACCACCACCAAAACTGGAGTGCTTATTCATTAGTTCTTTGACAGAGTAACACGTAATAAAAGTAACTCTGAGAAGTAGTGACGAATCGTTAGAATTACTGTTTGTCTTTATATTTTAAAGATCATCTTAAGTAAAGGTTAAAATTATTTTCGTTTGTGCCAAAATACAAGGGCCCCAATCCACAGAAAGCAAAATTTCTTAGAAAAAGAAGTCGCTTTTATTATACAACTCAAAACATGCTTTGAAGTGAAATCTGTAACTTTCAAGATTTCCCTTCTCCCTCATCCATACCCTCTCCCATTTACCACAGTCTAAGGAAATGTTTTCTGGTTGCAAAGGTCTTTTCAGCTCCAAGTTATCATTGACAGTCACAGAATATGGCAGATAAGATAACTATACTTTGAATAATAAAATTTAACATTTTACCCAACCTCGCCATCCAAGTTTTTGAGTAATCTTTCAAATTTGAAATAGTGCACTTGTGATAATGAGGTTAATGCATTGGATTTTTTTTTAACAAAAATAAAAGACTCATGAAAACCTGCATAAAATATTTATGGAAATGGAATGTTTGAAGACAAGCCAAAATTTAAGCTTATTTGCATGAATTCCTATCACAGTTTTAGTTGGTTTGCTGAAAATAATTGCAAGTCTTTACATGGGAATAAATGACTCTGAGACCAAAAGATACAGCACCGGAAGTTTGGTGTTTTCACCTATATCAAACTACAAGCAAACACAAGCACTTAGGCTACTGTGTCCTCATGCATAAGGAGGTACAGTTGAGTCAGTAGTTTATCTGAGGAGAAATGTCCATTGATAACTGAAGAATATTTCTGTTTCCATTTGTATTTCATAATTTGGAAGCTTGGCAGCTGACTAGTCATATAGAAGATTCGCCCAGTATCTAGGATAAGTAGCATATTCTAGGGTGAAAGAACAATATAGTCTCCTATGTGTATTCAGACATATAGGAGATTGTAAGCCTCACAAGACAGGTGATGCGTTTCATTTGGCTGGAATATCCCATCACACCTGATCTTTTTATTCTGCAGTTGTGTCACGTGTGATAAATGAAAAAAAGCAAGTTAGAAAAGTAATGTTATAATAAAGTATTTTAATTCTCACCTGAAATTTTGCTTTCAGGAATATTTAGATATTCCTGATCCCAGAAACTGATCCCAGTTTCAACACTTAACAAAAGCTCTGATCCTTTAATTTTGACATTTTTTTACTTCGGAAGGAATATGTCCGTATTTGTTGATTCTGTGTCTTGAATAAATATATGTCACAAGTTTAGCTACCAGCAGATAACCAGAAATAGCAATGCCACTGGTGCCTCTTTTCGTGCATCAACAGAGTAGACACAGACATAATTGTACTCCTGTTATTGCCATTTCATCAGCTAATGCCAATCAATGATGTAACCCCCTTATTCACAAGACCTCTTGGATCACATCACTGATCTACCCATTAGGCTTACCTTCCTCTTTCTCTTCACTTCTGCTGTATTAATTACGAGAACCCCAGGAATGTTGTATCCCTGCTTTTTTCCCTCTTCAATTCACTGTGAAGCTAAGACAGGTTTCCTTACCTTTCTCTGAACCAACAGACCTTCCCAAACAGAAGCCCTCCTTTGCCTTTAATCCTGCGGTTCTCAGACCCATTTCTTTTTCTCCCCAGAGTCTCTGTTCAGCCATCCTTGACTCCACAATGTCTTCCTTGCGCAAATAAAGCATTAGAAGGGATTTTGAGTGGGGACAAGGCTGCAGGGTTTGTGGTATGCCTGTGATAAAACTAATAGAATAACCTTCTTCCTTTGTTTCTAAAAGCAACCTTCTTGTCTCAGGCTTGGAACACCTCACAGGAGTGATACACAGGTCTTGCGGGGCTTCTCTCAAGATGCTTACACAAGAAGGAGTTGAATTTTTGGTCTGCAGATAGACAGGATAGTAAGATCAGGTAGAAAGATGTTAAATACTGTTTTAGATCCAGCAGTTGATTAACAGAGATTTCCAAGTCTTTGCTTATGGTCTTTCTAGATTTTATAAAATCAAGGTGAAAATTTTTTGAAAAGTAAGAATGTACTTTGTCTAAATTTACGGAAAAGGAGAAGGGAGGGAGGTGGCACATGTAAAGCTTACGAAGCCTGAGAATTCTAAGCATAGCATGGAAGGTGTCCCTTTCTGTTCAGTTGCTAGTGAGTGTGTTTAATAAATCTGAACGCAAGAGGACCATTCCATATTAATGACAAAGAGCAAGCTAAAATTGCACAAAGTCCAATTCATCCAGTTACTAGGTGGCCTGTAGAATAATTTTTATTCTGAATTATAGAAGTTAAATGTAAATTATTTTCTCTGTAGACATCTGTGTCACAATAAGGTGGGAGCTTAGAGTGTTTTCATGAGTGCTGATAACTGTATAGTGTTAGATCTCAAAGTCTGCAAACACCCTTCATTGCTTCTTGTTTACCCTTTAATTTTTCTGCTACTAAGATACTCTTTTTTCAGGAACAAGAAGCTGGCTCTCACTTTTGAAATATACATATGAAATACTCGCTGGGGAAGAGGAAATCCTAATTAACTGTCCTAGAACTAAATTTCCTCATAAAGGAAACCTTGAGAACAGTGTCATAGTGGAAATTAGCTAGATCCGCTTCAACTTGGTCATTTCTTATTCTCTGTCTTGAATTTTGATCCCCAGGAGGGCTGAGTGGTCTTAGGTCATCTGTATATAAGGGAAGCCCATTTATAAATTTTATTTGGTTTTTAATTCAAGAAAAGAAACAAATGCCTTTCTGCCCTTTATCCTAATATTCCTCATTATTTACTAATCTGTTAAAATCTATTTATGTGTAGTTTTAGTGATTGGCAACTTTAAAAATCCCTCAATGAAAATAGGACTTTGTACACAGCAACTAGATGATCTGCATAGAAAGAAATATTTGTCACTGTTTTTCATCTTACATGAATTTCACTATCTTTGTTCCTCTCTTCCCCTGAAAATAATGGCCTCTAATTGCCAAAGTTTTGTTAAATTTTATCAGAATGGCAAGGATATATGTTTGTTCCTCAAGGTGTGGGAAAGGTGATTCAGTCCATGAATAAATTTAAAAACAAAATAATATTTGCTTAGGGTGATTTATAAATAAATATGAGGCAGCCATTGGTGCCAAGTGTGAACCTTCTCTTTGATTGCTAGTTAAATCAGCTCAGATTTAAACATGTAAACTTCTTGATTTGTATGGAATAAGACATCTGTATTTGGTTTATTAAAACCTGCTGATGTCTCCAGAACTAAATTTGTTCCTATATAGGCCTCTGGGTAGCTGTAGCTAAAAAGCAGAGATGTATAGTTTTTGCTTGTCTGATTACCTGACTTCCAGCCCTGTACAGGTGTGCAGGAATAAATTAACATGAACTACCTCTGATGAGCCACTGCATACATTAACAACAGAGGTGAAGATGTGAAAACATGCTACCTGCCTCCTGTTATCACCTTCTCAGCATAGCAACATTCATTTTTTCCATCATTCTCTGTTTGGAAACTTATAGAGAACTTTTCTAAAGAGAGATTTTCAATAAATACACATGATTTCGTTAGGCAGTACCTCCAAGAAATGAGCCACTTAGCACCAATTCAAGATAACTATTAGTATATTTGCTCTAATATAATTAGCTGTCAAATACAGTGTGTTAACCCTCTCTGAGTATGAGAACATTTTTAGACATCAGCCCTTTTATTTCCCGTATTTTTATCACTCAACTGCAACTTTCCTTTTCCAAAATTCTGTACCAAAGTGAAGTTGTGCAGATCGCCTGACTTTTAAATGTTAAGGAAGAGATTTTTTTCCCGTTACTCTATTTGGTTTCACAACGGAGCCAGCAGATCAATAGGTCTTTTGTACTTATCTCCATTACTTTCCATCAAAGGCAAACAAACAAAATAAATCCTGCTTCTGAGTAATTGCTAGTTGTGCCCTCCTCAAGCAAAACTTTGGTAGTAAGATAAACTTCGATGTCATTCCTGTCTCTGGGGCTCTTTTTATGTACTGGGAGAAGAGCAATGAGCAAAACGGTCTCCTTGTATCATGGGGAGAGACTCTGTCAAGCCTAAAGTGAGCCTCGGAGCTTCCTAATGACCTCCTGCTGGCCCAGCTGGATGTAAGACAAGCTCATTTAAGCCTCTGCTGACCTTTCACTCCTTCACTACAAGAACTACACCAGCCACTTCCACCATCTCCCAGGCTGCTTACCAAATAGACAACACTTAATGGTGGACAGGTGATTTCCTTTGCATGATACAAAAGATTTAACAAATTTTTCTGGTGCAAATCTCCTGAGACTGCAATAACTTCCACTGCATGA